TGATTAGGTTAGTTTGGAAAGTTAAATCGTAGTTGCTTATCAAAAACTGTGGACTGCATTATATGGAGTCGCATCGTCGAATGCACGAACGCAGTAAGTTTTCGTCAACGTTTGTTCGAACCTMGATTTAAATAACAAAGTTTCTCAGAGCTTCCMGCCTCCGTGGTGTCGTCAGCATCASTATCCAAACTAAACTTAACTGCTATTATATAAGGTGTTGTATATCTGAAGAATTATACCTCCACTGTCTTACACAGAAACAAATCACATTTAWATACTTTATGTATATGTATGTATCTTGCAAATAAACTCTGTGAAYACGCTTCACCAAAGTAACAACTTCAGAATTGTGATGAAAATATTTTCAAAAAAATTTAATTTTGCAGAGGAAATTTATAWATGATGATAAGACAATCATCGAATATATTGTTGTTTTAACATTCTCTATTTGGAGTTGTACAACTATTAAAGTATAGGTATWGACTGAAATGAATACATCTTATGACTACAGCAGTTCAATTCGTAACAACTTGAAAATATAAAAACAAAACAGTAATTCTTATCAATTCTGGCCATTGACGAGTTTAATGGTCAAAMTTTTCGGAATTTCCAACAAATAGTTGTTTATATATAGTATATACATATATGTTGTTAAAAAAAGTTATACATTAAATCATTCATTTTGATAAAAATTCTATCKCAATCTGTTTATTTTAAGAACATTCTATAAGCGTATAGGTTAATTTCCTCGTAAATAATTAATTTATTAATATAATTAATTATTGGTTTACAAATTCAATCGAAACTGAAAAATCATAAGAAAWATTATAGTTTATTACTTTGTTGAACGTATAATCAAAATTTATGAAAAATCAGAGAAACACCGGTACCAAGTTATGAATCCCTGAACTTTAAGTGCATACCCTGAATAATTTAAAAACAGACGTATATAATAGAACTTTTATTCGTTATATCAAGTCACGCTATASCTATACCTACCATAGGGTTTTGAGTTGAATAAGGTGACATCGGGGCATTGTGTCATTTACGCAGACTGTTAGAAATTGCTGCCACTAGCCTCTCTGCAACGGATAAGGTGATTGTAACTCTCAGTTAATCATTTTCAGGAGATAAATTGAAAGTTTAAACCTAATTTAAGTTACTTAT